CGACTGATTACAGCGCAACTTGCAACACAACATTATCCTCCCGCACAGAGAGGTGCAACCACTGAGCTATTGTAGAAAAATACTCCTACATAATACAATAAATTAAACTATTCTTATTTTTACTACCACCTTCCCCCTTTTCTCAGCGCCCGGTCTATTTGTTCTTTTGTGTTTATGTATGAAGTGGAAGTTGGGAACTTGGTGGGTTATAAAGGCTTGGAACTAGCTAGGTTTACGACACACTCAAATCCTCTTCCCCCTTGCAATCAGGCTCCACCTCTGTATCAGCATTGCTCTCAGTTTAGTTTTAGTAAGAGTTTTACGGTGGTTGAAACACAAAAAGGTCGTATAAGTGTCGAAGATTAGAAATTGTATAAGAGAGAACAAACACAAAGAGAAGGAGAGATCAGGACGTTAGACGTTTGACAGGAAAAAAGAAGGAAACCACACAAGAGCTCCAGTTAACCACCTGCAGCATTGTTCTTGAAAATCTCACTTTTAAAAAAGGGGAAAAAATATTATATCTAATTTATATCGCGTACCTCAGTCTTTTTACTGGGTGTTGTATACCTTTCAGTCCAGGTTGGTTCTAACAGGCACGGCCGGAAGCCCGCGTCCTAAATGATCTAAATTTTGTCCTTGGGGGCGTAAAACACCCACTTAAAAAACAACAACTGTTAAAACAGGTCTGCGATTTGTTGTGCTCACTTCTATTCGGCTTTTCTTCCAGTACCATTCGTCCCTGTCAGTGCAGCGTGGCCACACCCCACAAACGTTTTATTTCCTTTTTGCTCGATCTTAGTCAATAAATGTTTTCATTAAATGCAATAGGAGAAAATTCAGCTAGTATTTTTTAATAGGAGACACTGCAATGATTTTGGTTGTTTTTGTCCCCTATCAAATGTTGTTTCTGATCCTGATATATTATTTAAGATTATACTTGTCCACCTGTAGTGTACAATTTTTAGTTCTGAGTCAGAACTCCACAGGGGTCCCAGAACTCCAAGTGCTCATCACAGTCCCACTCTCATGAGAGTCATAAAGTGAATGACTGAAACCTCCCATCGAGCAAACACAAATAAAGAGCAGGGGAAAAATAATGCAAGGCATAATAATATTTTGGTACGTGTACTCGTAGGTAGGTATTTCATGATGTTATAAACAAAGAAGAAATGTAACGCTCTTTTTTTTCCAAACAGTTTATACAATATAATTGTTAATAATTATAGTGTTAAAGTTACATTCATGTGACTCATGTGACAATAATGATAAATGACCCATACCCCATGTCCGACATTTGTAAAGACAAAAGAACACAGAGATACATCTTCTCAAAAGTCAGTTTGTCAAACCTTTAGATGGCTATTCTGTAGATTAAGTATGTCTCCACAGGGTACCCCCAAAGTGTTCAAAGAAATTGAAACTCACTTGAAGGAGTCAAGGTGGTACAAGATATCATGCAACAGATAAAACTTACAACCTTACAGATTCATCTTCAATTTTCTAATTGCTTCAAATGATGCAGCAAATTTGCTCAATATCTTAGGCATTCCTGATATTTTCATTTTCATGAACAGTAACGCCCAGTCTTATTTGAACGAAACATTAAGATGAGAGAAAACATGCGGCATACTTCACTGCTTCCTGTCTAGTGTTCATTCGTACATGAAAGAGGGGCTAACAAATCCAGAGCACTGTCAAAATAAAAACAAACTTTCTATTCAACTAAACATTCACAAAAGACTTTGTCACGAACCGTCTACTTTAGAACAGGAATGCCAAATCATTATTTTGTCTATCAGTCATAATCTAGCTTAAAAGAAAGGGTACTTAAACTGTTCGTATTATGGATACCGAAATGGAACGTGGTAGAGTTAAAGAGGAGTTAACCTTAGCCCTCGGTAAAAGAAAAAAAAGTGAAATGGTATAGGTTTAACGCCTCTGTCAACATTAGTAGATTATTTAATAGGGGGGAACTCCGATTTTAACGCCCGTCACCGAAAGGACCGAGCCAAATGGGGATTTCGTGTAAAGTGCCTTTCCCAGGGGCATAACATCGGACCGAGCTTAGGCTCAAAACCCGAACCCACAATCTCACCATTACGAGTCCGGTAGCTTAACCATTAGGCTACCGAGGCCACTCGTTAAAAGAAAGGGAATTATTATAATAATACATGTTCAAAAGCGTGGTTTGGGGGGGGGGGGGGATTGGCTCATTTGCTTTATTTGTAAGGAAAAAATGGATGACTAATTATCTCCATCATACTTAAACAATTGAGGAAATTATAATATGCAATGAGACGATAATCCTGTTGTTCCTCAATGCGAAAGCCCCCCCCCCTCCCCCTTTCCTTCTCCCCTCCCTTGGCATTTTCCAGCTTCCTTCGGGACAAACGTTTCTCTACTAGATACTGAGAGTTTTCCTCGATAAAAGTGAAGCTCTGAATGTGCTAAATCCTTGATGATGAGTCCATCCTGCGTGCAGTAACAACGAGTGAACTCGATTATATTGTGTACTCAGCACTCACTGCGTATATTTTACGAAAGCTACCCTCTATCGACACCGGTTGAGTCGGAACCGATCAAAAACAACAAAGAGCCTTTTGTGAAAGTGGATTTCAGCCCCAAATTTTAAAAAAAAAAGTTTAAGACGATTTTAGCGCATGGCGTAACGGCGATTCAAATATGGCCCCACAGAGAGTGGAGACCCTGGGTGTACATGATAGGTCAAGTACGTTCTGAAAGGGGGTTGGGGGGGGGGGGGGGTCAAAATTGACGCTCAGCGAACTTTTTGCCCAGGGCTGAAAAAGACCAAGTGTAATAGCTGGCATGAAGAACATTGATGACGACGAGTGAAAATAAGCCCCTTGCCAGACACCCCTACCCCTCTACCCCCCCCCCCCCTTATTATCCACCTTTATACTTCATATAAAGTTACACGAATCTATCCCACTAGGGAATCAGACCTAGATTCGGTTAGCGAAACGATCTCAAATGCTGCAAAGTTTTTTTCCCTTAATCTTGTTGTAATGTTTGAAAACGTTGCCCCCCCCCCCCAACCCCCGCCCCCAAAAAACAAAACAAAACAAAACAAAACAACAAACAACCTGTAGATCCAGTCAACCGGATGCTCTATCTAGAACCCTTCAACCAGGCCTATCAAAGAATTTCAAATGTGAAACTGTCTGGTTGATATTTCTTCATGGAGAGTAAATACCAGTAGACTACAGCATCGCTCACACTTACAGTCCCCCCTAATGCTTTTCTTGCTTTCTATCTAAGATATTTCTGCCTAACCAATTGTCTCAGCCTGCGACAACAATGGATATTGTGAATATATTTTGCTGAAGTGATACATGAAAAGCGATAGACAGTTAAGTATTAAACATTTTTATATTATATAATATGTATTTCATTTAAAAGAAATACCCAAAATGGAACAATAATCGAATAAAAGATGGAAAGGCAGGCCTGCAAACTAGCTGGTATTATAATATATCGGTAAAGACATAGATGGACAGGTTGATAGATACATAATTTCAGAGAAAAAAGAAACTGGATAGAAGTTAAAACACGTTAAGGAAGAGTGGATCGCTGACAGATTGTCTCACAGACAAACACAGACAGACACAGACAGACAGACAGACACACAGACAGACAGATGCGTAAAAGAAAAAAAACACATAATACATAGCGAACATTGCCACAGTTGCCTTAAGTTCCCATGAGTGGTTACACGAGTATATTTTGCATAAAACATATGAAAATATACTGAATTTGTTTTTCGTTCGTCTTCAAGTGGCGCCGTCGTTTCTGTGAAATCTTTACTTGTCTCTGGATATGGAAATATAGCACCTGGCGACATTGAGTGAAGTAACAATCTTTAAGAAATTGGTAAAACTATTTCATTAAAATATTAAATACTTTACCGCTTAAGAATCAAGAATAATAACAGGTTTCTCCCTAATAACTCAAACTAAAGGAGGATCTACACTAAGCCCATTTGGTTTTTGAAAATCTTCTCTAAATCTCGAGCAACTTTTATTTTCTAAAATGCCCCTGACCCCTAACTTTTTTATTCGTTCACTTACCCACCCATACCATCTCCCCTTTCCCCCTTTTCGTCATCGCCACATCAATCCTCCATCTCTTTGTTTACTCAGTTAGAAAGCATCTAAAAAAACGTTTTTCAATCCCTTGCCTATAATACATGTGCTCCTAGATGTACCGTTTCTTTCTCCAGGATTGCGGGTTTAGTCATGTCCAGCCTGTTATCGTCGGTCGCAGCGATGACAGCGGTCAGAAAAAGACACGATGCGCGTCTGATTAAAAATAATGTGAAGTATAAAGGTACAACTGTGGGAGTTTATATTCTTAAGATTATTTTGAAATATACGTAAATTGTTAACGTTATCACTTGAGGTCAAGATGAGACCTGATCATCACCTTTTGTCGTGTTATGATCTTATTCAAGTCAGATATTGCGCACTAGGGTATAATTCCTCTGCCGGCTCCGTGAGTTCACGAGTTTCGGTAGCTTAATCAAATGTGGATTAAAAACATTTCCATCAGAAGATAGGAATAAAATTTACCTGCTCACACGTGTCCCTTGTGAGATGTATTTCAGAGATGGCTACTTTAACCTTAATATGAGTTCTAATATTATCAACAACACCATAATACTAAGCTTTGCCGAAAGCAAAAGTAGTATTTCATATTTACTTCTACAGGCAAAGGGCTTGTTTTATTATTCCGTTATTAAAATAGTGTATACACATTTTTTTCAGATATATATGTTAAACACATTTCGTTAAGTGTCTTGTAATCTAGAAAGAGAGATTAAATTATTGAGGAAGAATTTAGTACGTGGCACAATGCAAGGCCATTTAACGAATGAATTTAAACGTAGACAGATTCTAATATTATATCCACAATTTCAAGGTCAGTATTCTGTGGTCAAAGAGAGCTGACTGTGATCATGCCCAAAGGTACACATTCATAAAGGTGTGTGTCCCCCAAAGTGTGCATACATTTGTCAACCAAGGTAGTATGCATAATAAATCCTTCCTCCTTCAAGACATCACGAGTGACCTGGAGTCATACACTACACCGCGGGTTTAAACAGTGGCTTGATGACCAGTATTGCTAAAGATGATACAACCGCGACAAAGAGAAACAACCAAAACAGTAATCTATCCATCACGTGAGCGACGAACTGCCACTCAGTGACCAGTTCCTGGTAACGGTCAAACTCTTGGTCACTCTGGAACATAGCGTGACCTCTGTCCATTGCATAGTCTACTTGGCCGGGATAACCCGATCGGAAGGAACCGCGGAAATTATTGTCTCTTCTGAAACTGGATCTGAAATTGCGAGAGAACCCGCCAGACATGTCGTAGCGAGGGCTCTGAGACAGGCCCAGTTCGCAGCACTGGCCCGGCTGGAAGCCTAAGGGTTGAGGATTAAACTCGTTCCCTGAAGGGGCAACTCTGTCCCCGCCTCCAGGACAACGTTGCTGAAGGGCGTCGCCGTTGCAGTTTCTCGAGTTGCTTCTCCCAGATCGTCGTCCCGGCCTCCGCTCTTCTGTCTCATGACTATCAGTGCCACCTACAATGGTAACCCCACCTCTGCCAGCACTGATGACTCCTCTACCACCTCCTCCTTCCCCTCCTCCGCCATTGCCGTTCCCCGAAAGACTCCTTCCTCCTCCCCCAGGCACACTTATAACAGCACCACTGGTGACTCCAGGTTTCGATCTACCACCTCGGGTCTCGCCGTAGACGTTCCCACCTCCACTACTAGTGTAGCTGTCTGTAACAGAAGGTATCCCGAGCTGCTCAGGAGCAGAAGTGATAAGCACCTGTGTTTCAGGGAGGCGCCTGTCTGTTTTTAGAGCGCCATTTCGGCGTAATGTCTGTGACGAATAGCACATACAGACGAGCCGGGCGAGCACCTCAAAGACCAGGGAGCGGAGCCAACGGGGGACTCGCCTCTTGTGGGGCCCAACGTGGTGCAGTTGGAGCACAAATACCGTGAGGATGATGGACATTGAGGTCATGCCCATTGTCACCGTCAGATAGATGCCTGAAGGAGAGGAAAATAGAAGATCGTATACAAGAAAATGTATCAATATTAATGTGTAAACGTGAGCTTGCTAAATATAATAATAATACATTGGAATAATAATAATAATAATAATAATAATAATAATAATAACAATATACTACTACTACTAC